GATGCTTCAGAAGGAACTTAGCATCATCACCATTGATCTTGTACATATTCTCGGTGTGTCTAGGTAACGGGGCTGCGACCAAAGGATGGTCCCAGAGTTCCTTAATAATTCCCAACAAAGCCGGTAAATAAGATAAGCTAGGAGGTGGGGAGCATTCCTTATTAATGTCCCCAAATATAAGATCCTCCTCCAGAGGTGGGGGCTCGTCCACATGCAACTTAAGAGTCTTCGCTAATCTCGATAACCTCGGATGGCGAGGAGTCATGTAGATCACCAGTGTCCGATTCAACCGTCTCTCCTACCGGCAACTCATCAGTCTTTGGCTGCTGAGGCAAGTCACCATCAGAATCAGAAGCTTGAGAAGAGAATAGTACATCATCTTCAGAGAACATCTCATGGCTCCTATTCTGATGTCGAGGTTCGATGTCGAGCGCAGCAGAAGTAGCACGCTGTGGAGGTGGCAGTGCTGTCAACATCGAAGCAGAAATAATAGGAGGATCCGCTGGTTTAGCCCCAAGCGGGGCTGTCTGAGGGAATTTCTCAGCCTCCCCTCAGCGTCGACGTCGATGTTTCCGCGGGGGGGGGGGTCGATGCAGACAAAGATGACACATATATATACTTGACATGCCGACAACGTCGACAATGTTCTGGTGATGTCGAAGAGGAGGAAGTAGAGGAATTCCTTCTACGACGTCGTCTGTTTCTCCTGCACCTCGACCCCGAGGTGGTGAATCATCCGAAGATGATCTGTGTCGACATCGAGAATGACGATGCTTCCCTTTGTCGTCCCTGTTAGGTGATCGATGTCGATCGCCAGATATATGCTTTCTTTTTTCTGCTTTCTTTCGCGGAGGCGAGGTTGGACGGGAGGGAGTTAGAGACATTGAATGAGCCAAAGATGCCCGCCTGGTGGAAACAGGGCTCAAAGGGGCTGAACCCAAGCTTGCAGTAACCTGGACAAGCTGGCTTTGCGTCAGGGAGGGAACGCCAAGGGGTCAAAACTGGCTCTGCTTGCCTGGGAGGGAGCGATGGGGCTGCCTCTGACATAGAATCTTTATCCCTAGATGAGTCTTCCAGAATCGGCAGGGGAAGAGATAAGGAGATAGGAGGAAGCTGCTGGGCAGAATCCTTATTCTTGACTGACTGTTTGGTTTTCATTTGTTTTGCAGACTTGGGAACCGAAGCAGCCTTAGAAGAAGATGTCTTCTTAATTGTGGACTTTTTTTTGCTTGCTTGGCAGCAGGCACTTCAGAGGGATTAGGAGCAGGTAACCGGTGAAGACTACCTTCAGCACGGGGGGGTGGCAGCGGGAGACAGGAGCTCCATAGTGGACGGTTTAGAGTCTGACAGAGCAGAATCCCACAAGTGTAATTTCAGCCTTTGCTGCCGTGCCTTCAAAGCAGCCTTAGTGAACGCTTTGCAGTGCTTGCAGCTTTGAGATGAATGTGATTCCCTAAGGCAAAAATGACAGGCATTGTCTCCGTCGTGGTACAGAATCTTCCCAGAGCAAACCACGCACCAGCTAAAGGGGCCAGAGCATGGAGGGGGCATAGGGAGAGACCGAGAGAAACCAGGACTCAGCCAGTAAAAATGGCGGGAAAAGGGTAAACCCAAGCCAGAGCAACGGGGAAAAAGCCGAAACACCAAAACAGAGTCCGTAAAGCAAAGAGAGTAGTCAGGAAGTACGCCAAGTCAGAAAAATCCACAAAAGATCAGTAAAATAGAATTTAGCAGAGCTCAAGCCGAGAAGAACCACTTCGCACGGCGGAGAAATGGAACTGAGGCTTGGGCGGATGGAGCATGTGCAGTATAGGCAGCCTTAAACTATGTTGCTTTTCCTACAGAGCTCGAGAACATTCCGAGAGGACCGATGCTGGCGCTGACTTAAGCCTTTTGTGTGCATTCACAGAAGACCACGATGAAGAACAAGATAGTTTCACAGGCTGAATTGACATGTTAATATCAACTTCATGGTCATCATTAGCAGGCCCTCAGTGAAAATACTAGACAAGGGATATTTTCAAGAGATAGCTGTTTGAAAACCAGGACAAAGGCAGACATAACAGGTATCACTTGAATGCATAGCAGCTTTTCTCCCCTCTTGTAATTTATAAATGAATTTGTCTTTTTTTGCACTTGATCTTTCAGTGTGAGATTCCTTTGAAGATGGATTTCTCAAACACAAATTGTTCCTTGAATCACGCTCCCCTAACACTAATGTGCTTTCAGCTCTAATCATGAGTTATCTATAATGTCTCTTTCTTTCCACAATTTATTCCACTCCTCCAATTTAATTTGCTAGTCATTTATAAACTGTCTTTCTGTGATATAATCAAAGGCCAGACAGCTCACAATAGAAATATAAATGACAACAAGATTAAAAACAAATGTTAACAACAGAGCGAAAAGTGGTAAAATGGCATCATGAAGCATTATTAAAAACATATCACCAGCAGCAGATTAAAACATATTGAGGGCTCAACTTAAAAAATTGACAGCACCAGAATAAAACAATCTTAATAGTCTTTTATATATAAAAAAGACTCAGGCAGTATATGATGAACCACTATTGGTAGATTATTCTATGGGTGATGCAGAGTAGTTGAAATGGACCTTTTTCCTTTTCTGTGGGGGAATGGATGACAAGGGCCTCCGAAACTGAACATACGGTATTTGCTGGCGGATAAGATGACTTTTTTGGCCCAAAAACATACCTCCAAGTGGGAGGGTTGTCTTATATGCCAGGTGCACTTTAGTTGGGCCAGTAAGGAGCTGCCGCCACTGCCGTTGATTGAGTGACGCGGGGCTGCGCTGGCCAGGGAGGAAGGCAGGTGGGCAGGCAGGCGGTCAGTCCAGACAGTGGGAGGGAAGCAGAGCCGGCCATGCCTGAGCATCCAGAGCCCGCCGCCGGCCTGCCTGCTACCCTGCACCACTGAGCCAGCTTCCCGCTTGCCCGCCTGCTGCCGGAGAGCCACTTCTCGTCCTCCGCTGCCACTGCCCACCTGGCTGCTTCCCCTCCTCCTTGCCCTCCTTGTTGCTGGCCATAAACTTCCAGAGCGGGCCCGGGAAGAGCCCCGGACAGCCGCCGCTGTTGCTGCAGCAGAGCCGTGCACTTTATATTTTGAGTGGAAATGTTGTGGGGGGGTCGTCTTATACGCCCAGTCATCTTGTACGCCAGCAAATACGGTACATCTCAAACACATATGAGAGGAATCCATTCTGAGATGCACTAATCTCAGAGTGCTTAAAGCTTTAAAGGCTAAAGCAAACACCTTGAATTCATACTAGAAGCAAACTGTAAGCCAATGAAATTGGTGCAAAATTAGCTTCATTCTGTCCAGCCCATTAGCCATAGACCACTACCATATGTACCAACAGATGTTTCAAGACTATCTTCAAAGGCAGCTCCACATAGTGTACATTACAGTAATCTAATTTGGAAATGACTTAGGCATTAATGACTGAAGCTCTAGTCAGATGTTCAAAAGAAGATGTGAATAGGGAATAGTGTTCTAGGCCCGCCTCCATCTGTCACTTCCTCCATTGAGAGAGGGACTATCGGAAGAGAAAAGCTTCTGTTCCACAAATAACTTTCCATAAGTTCCACCAGGGTCCATAACCATGTACTGGATCACTTATAACCACACACACTTGAGAAAAGTTTTTGCATTCTCTACACTACTGCCAGGACCTTTGAAGAGCTCACTGACAGTTCACTTAAAGCTTTTTTTCCTAGTTCCTGTACCACTGCTGTACAAAAAGAAGGATCAATTATTTTTGTACAAAAAGAATAACAATCTTGCATGCAATCTGACACTGAGCTTCAGTGAGAAGAGGGCTTCCCAGCCTTACTTATGCCTTGCCACTAACCTATTAGCAAAAACCTTTTCCTCAGACTTGAGGCAAGCCCTTGCCCCATCTTCCTGTTTATTTGCTTCTGTTGTTTTGTTTGCTCTCTTTCTCTATCTCTGACTTTGAGCCTGAGATGACATGTAAATTCTGCTCCTGACTTCTGACCATGCCAGATTTCAGTCTCCCGGTCTGGTTGAGAGTACAATTTTTGGTCCATTCTTTTTATTCTTCTGACTGAAACTGACATTCCAAAATTTTAAGTAAATATATTCCTCTCTTTTTCGACTTAAGCTACTTGTAGAGTGTTTTTTTAAAAAATATACGAAGGGATAGTTACTGTGAGAACAAAAAGGACTGGGTGGAAGCTGGGACTTTTTGATACATTCTTTCACATTTTCCCTGTGCTGCAGCTGGCTTTTGTACTTTATGCTGTGCTACCAAAACAAATTAACCAAAATATTCTCCCACATGATAAGCCCAAGTGCATACACCTGCTGTTTCTCTCCTGAGTCCCATCCCTTTCCCCTCACACCTGACTGCAACACACACACAAACGCTTGTGTGTGCTTTTTGCTAGTGTACATTTAAAGAAGCGCTGAGTTTAGAATTGTCTGGGGCTGGAGATGTCCTCCCTTTCCCCATATGTGGGCACTCATGCAAGGCATCTTGTAAGTTTTGGCCTTAAATGGTAGCTTACTTACCTTGTGCATAAATTCGCCACTGGTGTGGCTTTTTATATAGAAATAACGGTAAATATTGGTGACATATTCATAGGAGCACCATGCACAGATGTTAGGTTTTGCTCTTCTTAGTCCCAAGACAGTCAATATTTCAGTCCTTGAGCAGAGGTTAAAGACCTAGCAGAGTGGCAGAAAACTCATTGCTGCCTTTCTGATTTCCCCAAATCAAACTTGTATCTTTCCTCTCTCTGTTGAATTTTTTCCCTACACAGCTGGAGCAGAGATTTGTAATTTTTGTCAGTAAACTGCAAAGACAAATTTTCTGGAAAGAAATGTAAATAATAGAGGGGAGAACAGAGAGACACAAAGGTGAGAGCAGAACGCAGCCAGTGGCAGTGCAAATTCTTTCTGTTGCTCAGTCGATAACCTTTAGCCCTGACCTGCAAAACCTCTCTGTAGCATCAAAAATTAGTTTCAGCAATCATCTTTAAACCTTGGTCTTTCTTTTCACTGTGCCAAGTGCTGCATCAGTTAGTGTCAGTGGTAATTGCAATTATTTTTGGTTTTGTTTTAAATCGTATGAACGGTTAGAACAGTTTGTATTGTCTTGCTGAGCAATGGACATACAACAGGACCAGCCAACTAATCAATTCAGTTCCCTTTTCAGCAACAGCACGAGAGAGTTTCACAGTGGCCGAGGCAATGAGAGGGCAACTTTCAGACAATTTTGCTGCAAACTCAGTCCAAAGCAGACACGTTTTCTGCGCGGGTGCTGGATCGGCAGCAGCCCGAAGTATCGAGCCGTGCCTTATCAGAGCAGCAACTGGGCCGTTGAGGCTGAGCTATAGTTAGTCCTTCCAAAATTGTGAAATGGAGCTAGATCTCAAAAATAATAATTAAGCTGGGCATCTTTTTTAATTGGTTTTGAGTCTTTATCACATATTACCCTCAGGATTCCAGACTTATCTTTTAAATGGTTGTTAGAAGTTTCATGTTATAAAATGAAAATGGGGGATCTTGGCATTCTGGCAAAAACTTGCTGACCTGTTAGAGGTCAGGACATAGATGGTGTTGGCACAGGAGTGAAGCACTAGCATATGCAGGTCTAGCATACAACACATCCAATGCTCACAGGTCAAGATGTGAGGAGAGATTTGTCTTATACATGAAAAGAGTCAACACATCAAACTACATACAACACTACAAGACATGAGTGACCTAACCACAATCTGCTCATTGGTACATGACCTGATGCTGGTTTGATTGCAAACTAGCAGTTCCTGACACCGTTTTCCATGTGAAATGCAACTTTTGACCTTGGACTTAAAAGGTGCAGTCTGTTACAGTGGTGCTGGAGGAGGCTCTTGAGAGTCCCCTCGACTGCAAGGAGAACAAACCTATCAATTCTAAAGGAAATCAAACATGAGTGCTCACTGGAAGGACAGATCCTGAAGCTGAGGCTCCAATACTTTGGCCATCTCATGAGAAGAGAAGACTCCTTGGAAAAGACCTTGATGTTGGGAAAGTGTGAAGGCAAGAGGAGAAGGGGACGACAGAGGATGAGATGGTTGGACAGTGTCATCGAAGCAACCAACATGAATTTGACACAACTCTGGGAGGCAGTGGAAGATAGGAGGGCCTGGCGTGCTCTGGTCCATAGGGTCACAAAGAGTCGGACATGACTAAACGACTAAATGACGATGACAACGTTACAGGGCAAAAGGTTCTGCCAAGACTGATCAAATCACAAAGCAATATTTGTTGACCTGCTTGTTAGTATTTGTCAGCAAATATTCTGATTATTGTACAACCTCCAGATGTTCAAAAAAAACCCCTCTTGGTATGGATTCTTTAAAATTAGACATAATACATATCAGCAGATACTCTCCATTGCCACACATAAAATACCGAGCAATGATCAGGAATAATTTCATACCAACCAAGAACAACTTATGTTGATATTAATTGAAATACAGTATGTGGCTTTCCTTAGTGAGAACTCTTCTGACTAGATTCAAACACAGTTCAAACTTGTGTTTGACCTGAGGGATATACTGGTGCTGGCACCTTACTTAAGACATGTGATCATTCAAACTGAACAACTGTATCCTAGTCTTCATTTTAGCTGTCACTGATGTTACAAAAAGTAATAATATTACCTGTCCAGAAGACTGTTGTGAATGTTCAGTTTGCAGGAAAAGGTCAAAGAAGCAGAGACAAATCAAAGCCAGAGCGCACTGAACACAAAAGCAGGGAATAAATGCTGAGAAATTGTCTTAGGTCTATAGGATGAGTAGATGTCTGTTTTTATGTGGGAAACGACTAATGGGATGGCTTATTGTCATTTTAACCCACCTGTGTTGCTTCTTTGGACTACAGAATAATGGTAGAACTCAAACAAATTTTAAGGCTTAGATGTGGTTTGTCCATAAGAGATCTTAAAAACAGTTTGAAAACATAAGCCTGCCTTATCAGACCATTAGATCTTGTTTCCAACAATGGTAAAAAAAAATGCTTCTAGGAAGCTCTTAACTAAATCACAAGCCTATGGGCACAGTTTAGCCTAAAGCAATAATACTGGTGCTGAGTCAGGGGTGATGGATTTAAGTGATATAACATGGGAAAGGTGAGAGAGAAGATGGTAGACATGGCATATATAGAGATGATGAGACATAGCCAGTGTATAGTCCTTTATGTTTGGAATTCCTTGTTTTGGCCATAATATCTGCCTTTGTTGTTATGTGTCTCCAGGTCAGAACTGATTTATAGTTACCATAATGGAATTCTCAAAGTAAGTGAGAGAAGTTTTACCACTTCCATCTCCCCAGTGAATTCACATGGCCAAACAGGGATTTGAATTCAGATCTCCTGAGTCTTGGTCTTTACACTGTATCCCAATGTGTAGTGCCTGGGTCTGAAGTCCCTGTACTCCCCTATACCAAATACCGAGATGCTTCCAATTTGCTTTAAAATTAAGTTGTGGAAGTTTAACAATGAAACTCCAGTACCCATTTGGTCATGAATCAGAGACTCTATTTGATAATGTGGTATTTGACTTATATCTTGCATACAAATGGTCTATAAAATGGTAGATGGTTAACATCCTAACATCTCTAGAAGCACTGTAAAATGCAAAAAGAGTCTTGTCTACAGAAGGAAAGAAAGGATGAACTTGACTCCAGAAGTTAAGTTCCAACTTTTGAATTTCTGTACAAAGTAGAGTAAGACATCGCAATGGATGTGATAAATGGATAGAAAACCACATGGGGGAAAAAAAGGCTGTTTCAAGCTGAATTACTCTGGGAAAAAGAAGAAAACCACAGGACCTAAGTTGCTAATAGTTCCATTATTTCTTTTCCTTGGTTTCCATGAAAGAATAAATACACCCTCTGCAAAACACTTTTCTGAAATCCCATTTTTTTGGTTCCTGGCAGATGCTGTGAAAAAGGAGACTAACATTCTCCTGTTCTCTGCGCCACTTGTTGTTTTATGTTTTGTTTTTGTTTTACTGTCGGACATGCTGGCACTAGGGAATTTCCTGCAGAAATTATTCTTGCACAAAATGGAAGTGTTCTTTTTTTTTTTAAATGTTGTATACACATCACAGCTATAACGGGGGAAAATGCAGAAACAATTAGAAAATTTGACATGTCAAGAATATGATATGCGGCCAGGATAATACAATAATACATGAGAATCTAAAACTTAGCAAAATAAAATAAGTATTAAAATCAACATATAAAAGGCACTGAAACAACAAAGAGCTGAGAAGCAGAATATAGTGTTACTGCAGGAATAAAACAACGTTGATGTTACAGAGAAGTCCCTGGAGGTAGCTACCATAGACAGGGGCTATCACCCAGGAGCGCTCTGTATAAACTAAAGTGTGGTTTATACAGAAGATGGTGACAATTGTGTTTAGTATTGTTGTGGGCCACAGAGTTCACTTCCCCAGCAGGAGTGAGGCACAATATGTGATTAATTCGACGACACTGTCTCAAAGCTTATCTTTTCAGAGGGCTGCTGTGAGGGCTGAAAAATCTATGTGTGAGCGCTGATACAGAAAGCTGAGACCATGGACTGAAGGCAAAGCTACATATGATATCATCTGTGGAACATGCACATCAAAGCAAGCATGTTTGGCATCATTCTGTGTAAGTAGATTCAACTTTACTTGTGTACCCCTCCCTTTAAAAATGCACAATCAACAACAATCTAACAGGTTGTCTGCTTATAGAAAAGAAGTACAAGGGTTGATACTTTGGTGTAAAGAAAATCATCTCACACTTAACATCAAAACAACTAAAGAACTCATAATTGATTTTAGGAAGAGAAATGTACATTTACCACTGTATATAAACGGCGAGGAAGTGGAGAGAGTTGGTAGTTTTAAATTTCTGGGCACTTACATCTCAGAGGACCTCTCATGGAATATAAATGCCAACATGCTAGTGAAGAAGGCACAGAAGAGGCT